TTTTATAAATGCACTTAACTATATTAGATATAATAAAGTCCTCATGATAACCATTTCCTAGTAACACTCTTATGAACTCTGTTAGTTTATCAGTAAATGTGTCAAATACGGAACAAGTGTTAGCTATTCTAAGTGTTTCAGTGTATATAACGGAGCCTTTATTATTTATGGAGATATTTGTGTCATTATGTGGGAATCTAATAACCTTGAACTGAAAATCATCCGTTTTGTTATACAATCTAGTTACAACTCTGTCATTTATTATACTTATTGTTAAATCCAGATAATTACTGGATGTTTCACTTAGATGTGTTTTCTTCAATTCAAGTGTATTGAAAACAAACCTCGACAAGGTCTAACAAGGGAGGTCGTTCAGGGTGTGGAGCGCTTTTTCAAAACGGTTTTTGCATGCTGTAGGGGCTCTCACGGGACTACAGTACTATGTTTCATTTTCGCTGAGCGGCCCCCTGAAGGCCAAAAAATGGTAAAGAAATGGTCCAAGGTTCAATCCCTCCTGATGACAAAATTTTTGCATTTGGGTTGGAGCTTCCAAATTCGCTCCTAATAGCGCCAGCGCCAATATTAGGTGTCGTGTTCATCATCAAGACCATCAGTAAGTATTGCACTCGAATTTTAACCGCAATCCGGTAGAAAAATGTTGTAGCGCCAGATGGGCGCCAAATGGCGCCGAAGTGGCGTAAATTTGAGCAATCGGAAAAATGGATGTCATATTCGTGATCAGGGCACTCGATATTCCTAAAATAGAAGTTTTAGAGAAAATTGAGATTTTGACCTGGATCCGAAAAATTGGCCATTGATAGGTCAGTAGCCCATAGGTGCCTCCAGCCGGTGAACTGGAAACGAGTTCCTTGTTATCCTTCTCAAATAAGGAGAAGTTCACTACTAAATGGACAATGGCAGACACCCAAGCTAGTAATGTACAGTAGGACAAGCATGATGTTGAAGTCGGCAGATTCTTCTCTCCATCAAAACGTGATCTGTTGGGTCCTTCAGTGGCTCTTCCACTCGCAGGCTTAATCTCGATAGCTAGATCGATTCTCAAGGACTGCGATGTGGTGTAGAATATTCTCTATGAAGCCGAACTCTAGATTCCGTTAATCACCGCAGCATTCCGCTTTATTTTCGCGCAGCGCTCGTTTTCAAGTCGCCCGCCGGCTTGTATGACGAGCTGTAGCCCATGGTCACCTCTTTTTCGAAGTTAGGTCAAAATCTCGATTTTTCGCCGAAATTTTGCCTATAGGGGTAAATCAGGGTCCTGATCACGAATATGGCGTTCGTTTTTGGCGTCGGCGCCATTTGGCGCCAGTTTGGCGCTGCAAATTGATTCCGCCAGTTTTTTAGAAAACCCATTTGCAAGGGCTGCTGATGGTCCTGATTGTGTGAATATAGCGTTAAGTTTTGACGTTGAAGCAATTTGGCACCGATTCGGAGGTGATAATCAAAAATGAATGAACTTCGTCATGGGGTGGGGTCGAACCACAAAGTCCCTTCCTTCAAAGCCATCAAGCTATCCACTGACCACCAGACTACCGGTAGGATACCGACGACGCTTATGAAACCCTCGCACTTTTTTCAGCACTACCACTGACAGAACTTCAATTTTGAGCGAATTTCACCTTGTTTTCGATACCATCTTCATCAGTACCCTTCAATATGCAGGTGATCTTTTCTACAAGTCCGAAACGTCACTCCAAGGCTGCAAAAACCACCCATTCTTAACAAATTTTTCGACCTTTTTTGGCCTTCGGGGGCCGCTCAGCGAAAATGAAACACAGTTGTGTCTACGTGAGAGCCCCTACAGCATGCAAAAAACCGTTTTGAAAAAGCGCTCCACACCCTGAACGACCTCCCTTGTTAGTGTGGAACCAATCAATGATTTCACTGTCTTTGAGGATAACTTCCTTTCCTTGAATTTGGACTTTCTCTTCCATATTCTTGCCTCTTTTTTCTGCCGAAGGTCTTCCTACCCCTTTCGGTAGTGTTTCGATGACGCTAATGTGACTTGCTTTTGTTTATTAGCTGCTGTTTTGGCCGCAGGTCGCCTTGCGAATGTTTTACAGATATGCTGGGTTGTGGACGCTAATGTGACTGAATTGGTTGCTCCGTTAGTAACTTGCCATGCTGGGAAACCACTCTTTCACAGCGGAGGTGCAATGAGTTTGGTTGCTCAATTCGTTAGCCGACGAAGCGAGCAGTTGCCACACGTGTGGATACGAAAGTTTTCCCTGAATCTACATTCTACCTCATCATTCACCACTTCTCGATCCTATGCAGCAGTACAGCTTCTTCTATGGCCTCATAACCGAGCCTCCGCCTAGTTTCGAAGATGGCACCTGCCATACGTGTGGATGCAAAAGTTTTTTTTCTGAATCTACACGATAAGGAAAATTGGGAGGATTTTGAAAGGGGCAGTGTAAAATGACAGGGGCGAATCCACTATCAAAGAAGAAATGCAGTTTTCAGGATCAAATTTATAAGTATATAATCGTAAAAGCTGGTCAAGCAATCTTACACCTTTGGAAAGGAAAAATGCTTTCCGGTTCCGAATCTGCATTCATTTTGTACGAATTCGTCCCTTAAAGGCAAAAGTCGGGCTCGATTTCGGGTATTATGGCGCCTGAAACTGATTGTAGAGGTGCGAAGTGGAACGATAGTGAAGAAAAAACGAAAAAAATACCTTGAAAGAGGCCTAAATATGGGACCCCTCCTCAAACAGCAACGAAGAAGGCGGGCGTAGCGGAGAGCAATGTCCGGACGAGTTGTCCGGTCATGCTCCTGCTACGCCCGCCTTCTTGGTCATGAAGCAGTAGGGGATCTTCCGTCAGGGTTTTTTTTTGTTGGTTTAGGAGTTCGCTTTGACACCATTTCGCTTTTTTTGCCATTTCTTATCTTCATTTGATGTCGTCCGCGATGTGATATTTTCATTTTTTCATCGCTCTTTAGTGGCAATGTTTTCAGTTGAATGAAGTTCGGTTTTGCTGATTGGCTTGTAAAAGTTTCACTTTGTTTGTATTTCCCCTTATTTTACATTTCTTTTGCAATAGTTCAATGAGTGAATCTTATATTTATTTTGGGACTTGAAATGACACTCATGAAAATGGTTTGGAGTACATTTAAAAATAAAGATTTTGAAGGATACTGGAGAACAGCGCATTGACAAGTAGCAGAGAAAACATGGCATTCATGTCAACGAGACCTTGTCGAACTTTCCGGTAAACAGATCCTAAATGGACAGATTATCACATTGTGATAGACTGAGATGTGTTTCAATGCACCAAGAAAATTTAGGGGCATGGAAATCTGGAATAGATCGAGAGAAGGTAAGTGAAGGAATATATTTCTCGCGATGCTTCGTACTGAATGCAAAAACGGCATTCAGTACGTAAAAGTAAAAACCAGAAAGGAATGTGATACTGGTGGACAACAGCTGGGACTCCTCGGCGAAGAGCTGTGACTGTGGCCAAACCGATTTCTTCGTGGCTGACCTGAGAAAAGACATGAATTTTCTACACTCGCTAAATATTGCTTCCCATCTTTACCTCACCTTGTTCGGTGCAATCCACACCAGGAGTGACCATGTCGGTTTTCAACAAAGTAGTCGAGGTAGACGTGATGAGCAGCCAGAGCCTTGTGGAAGTAGACCAACACTTGTTCAGTGACCTTGAAACAAAATTTTCAAGTGTGAGCTAGACTCCACATAAGCATTGAGCTTCCACCTGGCCGCCGCACTAAGGTCACTATCAAAAATCAAGAATGCAAAAATACCTTGTAAAACGCGTATGCAGCTATAGCAGCGGTCAAATGAACCATCAATGTATTCTTCCACAGCTAAATATTGTTATCTTATAACACATCTTCTCCCAGATAAAAGCAAATCAGAGCAGCAAAATCACGCAGCCCATTGGACGATTGGAAGACGATTGGGGTCAAAAATTGAGTGCGTTCTGACGGTAACCATTACTTTTAATAATCATCAACATATTGATTCAATCGTGTAACGGGTTTTTGAAGTAGCGGTTAGATACCTTGTGCTTGGATTCCTTTGTGATGCGTACCGTAAAGTGAGGAAACGATAGTAGACAAAAGGCACGAACAGCGAAGCTTTTCCGCTGCAAGAAAATCACTGAACCCACTATAATGTACTCAGCGAGAGAACACCATACACGGGCAAAGATTACGCCTACGATAGTGCTACAGCTGAAAGGATCACTCCCTCTGATGTCAGTCAGGCCCTCCCGCATCAATCTTCCAAGTAGCCCTATCCATAAGACGACACAAACAGGAAAAACTACAACATCGTCATACTAGTGTAGTGTACTGCTTACTATAAAGCTTTTGCTGCGGGTGAATTGGTTTGTTAGGGGTGTGGTCCAGTGGGACAGAAGCGACTTTTTTGCGTTTCGCAGCGCGAAACATTTTTCGCTGCGGGAACCTCCACTGATGATCAGCGGTGGACCCGAGGTTCCCGCAGCGAAAATGTTTCGCGCTGCGAAACGCGAAAAAGTCGCTTTCTGTCCCAGTCATACTACTAGTATCAGTCATCTTACGAAAACGTGACGTGCTGGCTATTATCCGATATTACCAAGAATCCCACTGCCGGCCAAAATGGAATAAAAACAAAGATTTTTTCTCGTTAGGTGATACTAACAAACGGGTGTGGTTCACTAGGACAGAAAGCGACTTTTTCGCGTTTCGCACGCGAAACATTTTTCGCTGTGGGAACCTCAGGTCCACCGCTGATCATCAGTGGACCCGAGGTTCCCGCAGCGAAAAATGTTTCGCGCTGCGAAACGCGAAAAAGTCGCATTCTGTCCCACTGGACCACACCCCTAACAAACCAATTCACCTGCAGCAAAAGCTTTATAGTAAGCAGAATCTGGTGCCACGGGAGACAGAAAAGGTAGCAGATAGCATATTGTGAAAAACAACGTCATCAGCCTTGTTCCAAGTAGACAGCAATCCATAATATTTTCCGAAACAAATTGCTAAATTAGGGTTTACTC